TTCAACCTCATAAGCCCTGAATGTATATATATACATATATATATAGACTAGCCTATAGTATGGAAAAACAGAAAGCTTCAAAACTCGGGCCTGCAGTGCGACGCTTTCTGTGTGTGTATATATATATATATGGAGTGTGCATATATACTATGTTATTTCTATGCATGTATGTATACATATACATATATAGATGCATGTGCACATGTGCGGAATTATATGTACATGTGTGTGCGTGCACGCCTCGCTAGACCCTAAACGTCAACACAAGCAAGGCTGTGCTGTTTCTGGAACTTGCCCCTTGCACAGGAAATGCAGACCAAACCGAAGCTTAAGGGTTGTTAGCCTTTTGCATTGCTTAGCGAATAACTAGGCAGGCTTACAGGCTGAATACCAGTAAGCTTCCGGGTTTAGGGCTATAAGGGTTAAGGTTTGCGGCTTATAGCATAGGCTTTTGTTTTTTCTTCCTTTGCCTTGGCGGCATTTGCTGCCTTGCCGACCGCCGCTGCAGCCTCCTGGGGGTATTATATTACTACTCCCCCCGAGACCTAGGGACCTTATAAACTTTAATATAGTTACATCCTGAACCCTATAGACCCTAATGACACTAACTGATACCCGAAGCCGTAAACACGAAACCCTAGTTGAGGGGTTCGGGCTTGACGGTACGGATTACCAGGCGGGTACCTCCCGGCAATTAATCGAGATGCGATTGCGCAGCTGGTTTAGGGTTTAGGGTTACCCTTTTTGCATCAGGACTTGTGCCATCGCCTGAATGTCCGATAACCCTAAACCCTGCATCCAAGACCATGTGCACTCCTTGGCTTCGGCAGCAAGCTCATGCCGCAAGTGCTCCTGCAGCCCCGACGGAAAGGAGCAAGCGAAATCGATTGCAATGCACCTACCGGGCTCCCGGTATCCATAACGTAGAAGCTGGAATATGTACAAATAGTACTCCTCAGGGATCCCTACTGAGCCTTACTACAGTTCTACTATAGTAGGCCCTTTTGACAATAGTACGGCCCCCATATCATAGAACCCTCATAGTAACACTTATAGACTATAGAACCATTTTAAAGGAGCCCGAAAGCGTTTTCCAATTATCACGGTATAATATTACTTCCTAGCACGGCCACCTGCAACTGCTTGGAGGGTTTGGGGTTTAGGGGTTTAGGGCTTAGGGGGTTTACGGGTTTAGGTCTAAAGCTGCAGCTTTGGCCTTTTGGAGCCAAGGCTTTCACAGGTTTGGTTGAAGTTCTGTATTCAGGGACATTTATCCATCACGAGCAACTCTATAAGACGCTCTCCAAACTACCAGTCTCGAAAGCTTAAGACGACACCCAAACCCTAAACCCTAAA